TGGAGAGGCCCAGGCTGTGCGCGATTCGGGGGCAGAGAGGGAGCATCGCCCAAGATCTAATTTCGAGCGTTCTGGAAGGGCATAATGGCATTTCAGATCACCTGAATCGCAAATAATATATTATAAAATAAGCTTCAAACGTTAAAACTTTTTTGAAGCGAGGACAAAGAAGGGGCCTCGCCAAAGGCTTGGCAGAAGCCGGGAAATTTAAAAAATTTACTGCTAAGTGGCGATTGTTTTCAGGTGAACTTTCAGCTCGAAATCACTGAGATTTCAGCGACCATTTGTGTGGAATAGTTTACTGCCAGAATATACTCTACTCCTTGGTCTAAGGAACCCAAAAAAAACCTACCAAGCAGCTTTTCCGCAGTGTTTTTTTGCTCCGACACCTGACCCCCCGGATCATGCGGCCCAGCCGACCCTGGTGGTCTGATTAATCGGCTATTTGGGGTAGATGGCTCCAACGGTTCCGCTTTTTCCGCTGTTTGGGAATGCTGCAGATTTTGAAGTTTTATTTGCCAATTTTTAACAGAATTTGCACGTTTTTTCGCAAAACGCCTTCTTCTGCTCGTCCGTGTAGCTGGGACTCTTGCAGAAACCGTTTGCATTCCAGTTGGCGCAACTAAACAGGCAGATTTGTTAGTGCAAAATGTGTGGCGATTGAATTTGTAAAATATTACTTTTGGGAGGCATCCTGGCATTTCGGGCGATCGCACAGCCCGCAGCTCAGCTGGCAATATTTTTTCTTGTCCTGATCACTGTAGTTTGGGTTCGTGCAGAAGCCGTTTTTCAGCCAATCGGGGCAACTAAAAAAATTTTTGGATGTTTGAAGGGGAGAGGACTCTATAGATTTTGTCGGTTTTTATGGACCTTGTAAGCCGAAACAAGCCCAATAAACAAAGCCGTTTTTGGACCCACTCCTTGGTAGCATCATCACAATCGCAGAGTCCGCAAGTTTTGGCGCAATACTGCTTCTTTTGCGGCCAAGTGTATTGGTGGCCGTCACAAAAATCGTTTTTCTCCCATGCGGCGCATCTAAAGACCGTAGAAAAAACAACAAAACGTTGAACAAAAACCTAAAAACCCACTCTGCGCTGTTGTCTTTGCAGTTCTTCTGAAAAACACACGGATTTAGCTGGATGTAAATATCTTTCACCTGATCGCATTGCGATTTGCATCCCCGGCAACTATCATCACAATCCGGACAATAGCAAAAATTTATATCCCCCTTTGGTGGGCTACAATAGCCCGTCGGGCACAACCCATTTACAGATGCTAAAGGACGGATCAGTTTTCGAAATTTTCCTAAAATTCAGGCTCGAGAAAACATACGAAAGGCCTGACAGTAGGTGGGCATCGCTGAAAACTAAAACATGCAACCTTTCGCGAGTTTTCCTTACGAGACTTGCAATCGTAGGCTCCCAAGGCTTCCAGAAAAAGAGAAGCAAAGATTAAAGCGATTCCGGAATTGGACAGCATTTCGGGATTTACAGACAGGTGCCCTTTCGACGAATTGAGTTTGGTCGTGATGCCTCTTTCTCGCTTATCGTTTCGCTCCCCGACTAATAAAGATAAAAAAACTCCTGGTTTTTCGAAAACGACCAAAAAGCGGCCTGGGGGACGGGCGGTGCCACGGTGTACTCTTTGTGTTCCGATTTAGAAAAAGAAAAAGAGCAAAATGAAGCTGGAAAATTGGAACTGTGTGAACAGGGCTTGCAAATTATGTAGTTGGTTAAGTTAAGTTGCAAGTCACAACAACTAGCTTGTTTCCAAAGCAAAAGCCTTTCTTCAAATTGTTCTTATCCGATTCCGGAAGTCCGGGGCCCAAATGGTCCCGGTAAAAATTTGAGACGACTGTCTGGCGGTTTTGCTTCGGAAATTCGAGCCGGCTGGAAGGGGAAACGTGCGTTTTTTGGGTCCGCAGGACCGAGCATGTGCAGAATGTTGTGCTGATACCGAATATGCGTTCAAGATCATTTCACAAAAATTTGAAAGAAAAAATTGCGTGGAAGGTAATTGGCCCATCTGGTGTATAAAACATACGCTTTCGAATTAGCTAGTACAGGCAGATTTTTAAAATTTCATAAAATTGGATCGATGATTTTTGGATGGCGTGAACTGCTAGCAGATCGTGTTAAAAGGGTTTTTCGGGATGGTTCCGCAATTGTGCCTGCGGTAACTTATTGTTAGTGAAGAGAAGTAACATTATTTTCAGTGAAAAGTACGTCATACCTGATCCATCCCCGCAGAGGTCACCCAATCCCTGCCCCCTAGCCCATTGTAAACGCGTGTTTTTGTGCGTGTCTGCGGAAGTACGCACGGCGCCCCTGGACGATTGGGTGTTCGCGGCGGTTGTCAGCTGTCCACCCGTGATGTCCGAACCCCCCGGCACCACACTCACACACCCTACGGCTTCACCCATACACCCCAAGTCTGCTGAACATCTTTATGGCCTGGGTGCGCGTAATATCTTGCGGAATATGTATCGATTCGTTGAGGCTTGGCTCAAAAGCCCGATCACTATTTGAGGTTTTATTTTTATTTATGCATTTTTCCTTAAACCTTGCCCTTCCTCTTCCTTTAATGCGTCTAAAGGGGAAAAACCCATTTTGCCACTAGGTACCCGCACAACCAAATGACACCCCAAAGCACGCTGGCTAGCGAATTTTTTAGCTATGCCTGACTTTCCTTCTCTCTAGGAAGATAGCTTCTCCGCCGGTAACGGTCTAGATCTAGTCGACGACAAGGGGAATCGAGCGTTTCCTAGCACCTTTAAAGGGCCGGTGAAGTCAAAATGCGCCTATCTACGGCCCTGAAGATTTTTCCACGGAACTGTCGAGACTGAAGTGTCACTTTTTGAGTGTCCAAGCGCCTTTGAAAGGACAAAAAAAAAACAAAAACAAAAATGTGGCTTTCCACGTTCAGCGACATTTTTCGCCTTCCTCGAAATTGTCGAGACCTAGTAAAGGAAACAGGTTGACTCTCGTGTTTCTCAGTACCTTTAGATTCAAAGTGGCACACGGTGTTGAAAGTTGAAACTCTATCAAACCGGACGATCAAGCCACCAAGGTTGCAACGCGACTTGTGGCATGTGGCCCCCCCCGACTCCTTTCCATGATGCCCTCCCCTCCTTTGTCGTTCCCTTTTTGTCCTCAAAAAAGGGTCTGGCCATGTGCTGTAATGGGCGTCAACCACTTCCCCGGGGTTGATGGCCCATCATCCCGTGGAATCCTAGGGGGTTTGCCTTTAACCTCCCCGTTTTTATGGGGATCAAGTGCAGCTGGCCGGCCATTGTGCGGACTTTTTAGGCCGCTGGAAATGATGGATCGTGGGATTTCACAAATTTTATTCTGGTTTTTTGGAGGAACTGACTTAGCTCTGGATCAAGTTCATGCTTCTCTCTCTGTATCTCCGCCTCTCAGACCTGCTCACGACTACTGTCCCTCTCTCTTCTCTCTCTCTTTCTCTCTCTCTCTCTCTCTCTCTCTCTCTCTCTCTCTCTCTCTACTCTCTGTCTCTGTCTCTCTCTCTCACTCTCTCGCTCTCTGTCTCTGTCTCTCTCTCCCTCTCTCCCTCTCTCTCTCTCTCTCTCTCTCTCTCTCTCTCTCTCTCGCTCTCTATCTCTCTCTATATAATCTACATTCCAGAAGCGACCCTGTACATATGTGCCGAAGAACCCAAAGTGTGACTCCCACACTAAATAAAAACTAAAAATGGGCGACCGAACGAACGCGTTTTCGATTTTGCAGCGAACCCGGCAGACGCTGAATGATCTCAGCAGGTAATTGAATAGCTTTTTCGCACTTTTTTCTCTTCAATGACTTTCGAGTGGAAAAGTGCTTTTGGCGGCGAGAAAAGACAGCCTTCACGTAATCCGATCCGTGGTATCGTGGTGGCAATCCGGGAATACGATTTTCGGAGTACTGGTCTTTCGCTTTTCTCTAATGAAACATTTTATCATTCTAATTTTCGCTTTTTTTGCTGCAAATAATTGTTCGCTTTAGGTTCTTGACCGTTACCCCAGAATTACCCGAGCCTCCGTCATTCGTCAGCCTGAAGCCAGTGGCAAAACGGAAAAGCCGGGAAATGAGAGCAACTTGGTTAGGTGTTTGGATTTTGTTATTTAAATTCCCGTAGAATTTTCAATTTATTGTATATATACAGGGTGTTCCAAACCCCCCCCCCCTCTAGCGGTCCGTGGGAAGCTCAGATCAGGATGATTTTTATACCATTCGAAAGCCCGCGAAAAGGCGAGAAGACAAGCGGGCTTCATTTTCTAAGATTTATTCTGGTTCGTCCGATATTCAGCGTTTTTCTAAAAACAGGTAATTTTTCAATAGGAATTTCGCAATTAGCATGCGGCGGATCTCGCGTACGTAAATCAGCCGTTTTCATGGATTTTGGAGGAAAATTCGCCAATAAAAATACATAATAAAGAAAATGAACCCTTCATATTTTCTCGCCTTTTCGAGAGCTTTCGATAGAAAGCTAAACGGCGAGAATCGGACACGTCTGGGCGCCGCTAGAGGGGGGTATTTGGGAGTTATATACAAGATTTATTTCAGAGACCTGTTGTTTTTACTACCTCTTTGGTTGATTTCTGAGTTTTTTTTCAAAACCCCTAAAAATAAACCCTACTTCCGCTTTGTACCTGAAGACGGTGGTTGTTGACTCCGGTCCCCTCAACGATCCCAGCTCCAAAATCGCGTAGAAAACCCGTGAGGGCAAAATGGGGCCCATCTGGCTTACACTACGGCGAAGCAGTAGGAGGGGGTGGCCCGTTCTGACTGGCACATGCATCCGTAACGTCCCTCATTCCTTCATGCCACTGTGTATTGCATTCCTTTAGCGCTAATAATCAAAACGTTTGCCGTTTTCAGGAGGCAAAACATTAAGAAAACTAGAATTAATTGTATCCAGATTAATTAAGCATTTTCAGGTGCCCAATCCCGTCCACTTCCGGCCAAAACCCGAATCGTCGACATCACTCGTTGACGAGCATGAAGACTTACTATGCTTTCGGAGCAAGGAGCCACAGGTTTGTCTAAGCCTAAGCCTAATCCTCAGTATCACCCGAAGCCCAAGCCTAAGCCTAGGCTCGCACAAACGAAAAACCTCCTTTAGCGCCGGTTCCGGCAGTCGCAGCTTCAACTCCCTCAACCTCGACACATATGGAAGTGATTATGGGCGCAGGAGGTGGGTTATTTAGCTCGAGAAACCTCACTTTTTTGGTCATTTCAGCTTTTCCACCCGAAGCTATGGGTACGGGTACGTGCCGCCGATTTCGGTCAGCACCCGGATGCAGGCGTCCTACCCTTCTGAACGGCAGATTTTGGAAGACCCCTCCGCGTTGATATCAAAGTTAGTTCTATGGAAAACATGAAAAAGACGCATCTAATAGATACATTTTCAAATTCTTGATTTCCGAGGAAGACCCGTTTCTTAGATATTGCCGCAGCCCAACTTTCTCTTCGATTCCGACCACAAAATCTTCCGGGTATTCATCGGTAAAACACTCATTTGCCATAAACTTCTATTCTAGACATCCTCTACAACGCTTTCCCCGAATTCCGTCACTAGCCGTCACCAAAAATCGTCATCAGTATCGTCAGGAGTTTCGGCTGGAGCTTCAGCTTATTCAAACACTTCGGAGCATGAGGTTGGTAGCATTCAGCACTATCGAACGCTTGCCCTAGATCTTTAAACTTCCGAGAATCTCTGCCATCTCCGAGCTAAAGGAGGTCAAGGAAAAAACCCCAGAAGTTTCAAGGCGAACTGAGTCTTATTTGGTATCTTTTCTATATTAATGGTAGTTCACAAAATTTTCAGGAGCTACGCGATTCCCCAAATCTGCTATCCCCACCCCTGAAAACTGATAGGGCCACTTCCGCCTCATTAGGTGGGCTGAGAAACTTGCAAAATTACGAGAAATACAAACTAAAATCGAATTTAAGAGATTCTTCCCCAAACTGACGAGGTCGAGGACTTGAAACGCCAGAATCGATTTTTGGAGGAGGAGGTGGCGAGGCTGAAGCTGTTGTTGAAAGAGAAGGAGCGGATTGAGCATGAGATAAAAAGGTAAGGAAGCGTATTTTATAACTTAAAAATTTGTGAGCCTCTAGGAAACTCTTGGAAGTCGAGGCTGAGGCGAAAGTTTGGCGGAACAAGTGCGAGCATTTACAGCCGAAGGTTATACAGATTACGTGAGTTAATTCCCAAAAAATTGCGCTGTCCAAAATTGCGATATACCGCTAGGTTTCTAAGCTGGTTTAAGTACTTGCAAAAAATGATTTCGTGGTCCTAAAAAGGCTTCCAAATTACTGGCAGGACCTGACATCCGAAAAGCAAAAAAATTGCCCACTCACGGGATTGAACCGTGGACCTTCTGTTTACGAGACAGACGCTCTGCCACTGAGCTAAACGGGCGGTATGTGAGGCGCGATGAGAGGGCCTCTTCTCCCCTCCCGCCTATATTGGTTCATCAGCCTCCGATTAGTGTGTGGATCTCGGCTGTTCATACAAAAGTCCGTTCCACTCCCCCTCATTCACCTGCCCTTATAGCTCAGTGGTAGAGCGTTGGTCTTGTAAACCAAAGGTCGGTGGTTCAATCCCGCCTGGGGGCAACGGCCCTCAATTTTTCTTGACTTCAATTTAATCCCGCATACAGGTAGTTTTGCTGAAATGGAACGAAACTCTATTTGCCTACAGAGCTTGGTTTTTGGTAAGAAAACCTACTTTTTTGGGAAGCTGAATGCATGCTTTATTCATCCGGTCAAAAATCCATTTATGAATTTTTTGGAGTGAAAATGTTGCTTTACTGGCCGAAAGCCTGACCGTCGAAGCCCTGTTGTGATTTTGCCATTGGCAAAAACAAAAATTTCACCGTTTCGATATGGTAAAATGCTTCGTATAACGTTCCGAATTTTAGCCCCAAAAAAACAAAAAGAATTGCCCACTCACGGGATTGAACCGTGGACCTTCTGTTTACGAGACAGACGCTCTGCCACTGAGCTAAACGGGCGGTGCGGAAGCGGGGATGAGCGGGCCTCTTCTCCCTTCCCGCCCGACTCGATGCATCAGCCTCCGATTAGTGCGTGGATGTCGGCTGTTCATACAAAAGCCCTTTCCCCTTCCCCTTCACCAGCTGCCCTTATAGCTCAGTGGTAGAGCGTTGGTCTTGTAAACCAAAGGTCGGTGGTTCAATCCCGCCTGGGGGCAATTGCACTCAATTTTTGACTACTTTAAGGTAAATATCACCCTGTAACCTATAACCTGTATCTTGTAAATGATGTTTTGTGGAAACCTATGCGAATTTCGCTGTCAAGGAAAAAATCTGCGGCTTAAAAAAACCATTTTTGTTCTTTTCTTTACTATATTTTCCTTAGTTTTTAACCGGTTTTTTTAACTGAATTTTGCCGACTATTACGGGCTTTTCGATGCAAATTAACGTATATGTTTCTTCAAGGTTTGTACAAATACTTTATTCACGGTTCACCTGGCACATCAATGATATGAGATTATTACAACCGGTTTTGTCATGGGGGTTATAAATTGCGTACAAAATGCGAGAGGCGTAGAAGGGCACGTTTACTGGCCGAACGTCTGGCCGTTGAAGCCCTGCTGCTGGCCCTGTTGGCCCTGTTGCTGTCCTCCGAATCCGCCGTTGTTGCTTTGTCCTGAATTTGGCCGGATAATTAGTCTTTAGCTTCTCTCTCCCTCTCGATCTCGCTCTCTCTCTCTCTCCCTCTCTCTCTCCCTCCCGCTCTCTCTCGTTCTCTCTCACCTCCGAACCCGTTTCCGTCCTGCTGACCCTGTTGGCCCTGTTGGCCTTGCTGTCCCTGTCCTCCGAACTGTCCGTTCTGCTGGCCGTCCTGGTTGCCGAACGGAGCCGTGAAGCCTCCTAAAAACAAAAATAGGTGTCTAGCACTTTGGTAAAGAAAAACTAGATATTCTGACGTCTTTAAAAATCTGCAAAAGTCCCACCTTGTCCTCCAAATTGGCCATTCTGCTGTCCGTTCTGGCCCCCAAGCCCACCGGGGAAGCCTCCTAAAATTAAGATAAAATTGCTGGTTTCTTTTCTTTAGAGGAACAGGAAAAACAAAATCTATAGGCTCGATAGGCCGAATGGAATCCAATTTTTTCTTACCCTGTCCGCCGAACATTCCATTGCCGTTCTGCTGGCCCTGCTGACCCTGCTGACCCTGTTGCCCGAAACCGCCGAATCCGCCGTTCTGCTGGCCATTCTGGTTCTGGCCCTGGCCGCCGAACTGTCCATTCTGGCCGTTCTGCTGGCCTCCGAAGCCGTTCTGGCTGTTCTGGCCTCCGAACTGTCCATTTTGCTGGCCTCCCTGGCCTCCGAAGGGTCCGTTCTGTCCATTTTGACCGTTCTGCTGGCCTCCAAAGTTTCCGAAAGATCCGGTCTAGAATTATCGACGTAAGTATCAGCTCGTTAAATCCTTACCCTTCCGGACCACGACTTGTGCGGGCGTTCGGTGGAGCTGAACGGAAATTATCGTTTAGTTTTATATTTTTTTCAATCATAGCTAAAGGACACCCGAGTCGAATTACGTTCAAAATTAGCATATGAGAAATTTTATGTTCTAAATAGATAAATACGATTATTCACAAAATAGATTCACAAAATTTAATGAAATACGATGAGTTGCGTAGAAAAACCTACAAAGCCGCAACGACGGCAAGCAGTCCACACGCGATGACTGCTGTCTTCATTATAATTATAGTAGTTTAAAGGGGTAGTGAAAGCTTGTTGAAAACTGTCTGATTCCAAGTGCCACCAGCTCGAGTTTTATATCCAGAAAGTAGGGGTTGATGTGTCCCGGGGTCGAGCTTTGCATATATTGTACCAGCTGCCCACACATGGCCCAATTTCCAATGAGTCAGTATAGTAATGGACCGGTTGTTTGGCCATGATTGACGTCGGAATGAATGGGATTTGACATCAAGTAGCGGTTTAGAGGGGCAAAGGGCAGGAATTTCGCGTGGATTGTTGTTGTTGATCCTAGGATTTGGGTGGGTTTCAAGCTTCCCCTCTCTCTCTCTCCCTCTCCCTCCCTCTCCCTCCCTCTCTCTCGCTCTCTCTCTCTCTCTCTCTCTCTCGTCCTCTCTCTCTCTCTCTCTCTCTCTGGCTTATGCCCTTCATCGTAATTATTCAGCCGATTTAAACCGAATTTTAGATCTATCGAGAACCTGATATGCAGAAATTCAAGGGCACTATGTGGCATTACGGTAACTGGCACATTTTGCGTATTTTTATCGGTTTTCATAAAACGTAAACATAACTTAACGTAATATTCTGTTGCTTGTTCCTCTCAATCAATCGATTCCTCGATTTCCTTAGAAAATTCTAGCTTTCGCAGACCATTTAGACCAATCCAGAGAACTCGTCATTTTTCCAAATTACGCTACGGCCAGCGTCTACCCCCGGCTGCGTAAACTTCACTTTTTCGGCTCGGTTGTCCCTGATGGTGCCGAACTGTGGTGGGGAATTCCCCGGACAATGATAAAGCACTTTGTCACAATAATAATAGCATCAAGCGTCCCCCAAAATATTTATTAAAACCTGGGAAACTTGTTTTGTTGGTCAAGCGCAAATTTGGATGTTTTTCACGTAATTTACCAAAAATATTTGCTTTCAGTGAGCCGTCCATTGACCAGGAGCTGCTCGAGAAGTTGGACAGCGCGACGGACAAGCTGACAAAGCTGAACTTTGCTCATGATATGAAGATGCTGCAGGTGAGGGCCATCTAAATTAGGGCTATCTAAAACGGTTTTTTAGAATCAAATGGAAACCGCGCTGCACGAGATGTCCTCGTGAATCGATGTTTCGTTGTTAATAAATTTTTCAAAACTTTGACGATTTTCAGTGCGTCGATATGAGAGTCTATTTGTATTAGCGCTTACTATTTTACATACATCGTACAATTTACAAATAGCTTTGACGTAACATCACTGAGATATGAAGGTTTTTCCGCCATCGCGCGCGTTCTTTGTCTGTTCTCCATCCCATCCCCACTCGGCCCCCACCTGGCCCACCCTCTCTCTATATCTCCTCTCCCCTCCACACCCAATTCGAAATCATACTTCATAGGATCATTTCTATAGTATGCATTTCACTATACCCACTAAATTGCGACACCTCGCACCCACCGATGATTGGGTCTGAGGCGAGTGGAGAGCGGGAAGAACGGTTTGCCCCCGTTTTGGGGTGGCACTCCGCTGAGGACCGCGTTCATTTCCGGAAACGGATTCGGACAACCACTTGCCTCCCTGAGGGGGAAAGAGGAGCGCAAAAGGAATTTTGGTCTTGGCTTGTGAGCAGGCCCGTACGGGACCGAGATTTCGGGGCAAAAATTTGGCGACCCCGGTCCCTTTCAAAACCTTCGAAAATAGCGACAATAACCGCGCCGCAGGCGAAAAAGTTTAGAAAACCGCGTTTGTAACGCTTAAATTCGTGTGAAAACACATCGGAAACGGCGCGCAAGCGAAATTTTGTTCAGCAAACATGGTGCACTAATGAAACGAGCGCCGCAGGCCAAAAAATCTTAGAAATATTTTCCAAGGTTTTCTAAAAGTACAAAATCGTTTCGAAACAGTGATAAACAGCGCCGCAGGCAGAAAAAAAAATTTGCGACAAAAACATAAGGGTCCCCCTTATGAACTTTTCAGACCTCGACCGATTTCGGGGCACCGTGCCCCGGTGCCTACCCCGTCGGGCCTGCTTGTGAGCCACAAAAAAATAAGCGGTCGCTGAGAAGTTGGAGAAGCGTGGACCTGCTCGGAGTTTGTCTACTCTGTCTAGAAGCTATGCAAAATAACTAGATGACCTTTAACTCCAAAAAATCGGTGCACAGGGAAGCTATCGGTCTATTTCTAAAGTGCAAACCGGATGAAAAGTGCTGGGAAAGTCAGTACTCACCTATTCAGCCACTCGATCAAGTATGCAGGTATTCGATGAGACCCGGAAAATTCGGTCCCATAAAAGTAGAAAGCATCGAGGATCTCATATTCCCAATCATGGCTTGCTGGGTGACTTCGGCCATCGGCTTTGCGGGCTTCGGTTTGTCAGGAAAATTAGTTTGACGTGAATTGTTTAGTGCTCCTCGCCCATGCGGCGCGTGGAGGTAGGTCTTTCGAAGATGTTCTAAAGAAGCATAGCACTGGCGGTTTTTGACTTTTAGTGGCTTCGGAAATACTCTTCACGAGCTTAGAAAACTTGGCTTAACGAGCTTCATCTACTTACAGGTGGTTCAAGCAGCTACCAGGCACCATACCAACCGCCTTCGCCGGCAGGCTACGGTGGCCCACGTCCGCCGCCTCCAGCACCTTCCGGATCTTACCAACCTCCACCACCACCCTCTGGATACTACCAACCACCTCCGCCTCCGGATTGCCCGGAACCCAGCACTACCGAGGCCCCAACTCCTGCTCCAACCCCGGCTCCTACCACCGTGACGACGACCCCTGAGCCTATCACTACGCCTACCACGACCGCGCTGCCGACCACCAAGCCGAGTGCTAATGGGGGTTCGGGAGGGCAAGTTGGTGAGTAAAGGCGTATTGAGTTGTTTCTCTCTCTGCCTCTGGCACGCCCACATACGCCTGCAAACCTACAAAATTCAGCCTGCCAATGCTTCAATTCGACCAAGATCGATGAGCCGCTCCGCGGCCTCGATGGCGAAGTAGCCGAGCTCGATCAAAATGACCAGGACGTGTAAGCTAAGCTAACAGCGCCGAATAGGTCTAATAAGCTAAATATATTCTCCTCATTTTCAAACGGTTTGTTATGCCAATTTTTTTCAGGCCCGCAAACTGCGGCATCCCCAACACCGGCGACATCACATGTGAAATCCAGGGAGACACCCCGCCCTATACGCTCACACTTGAATACTACGATCGTGTAGGGCTAGGGCTTAGGCTTAGGCCTCGACCTATAAATAGGAAAAAAAACTTAGCTTGGTAAAGGTAAAATCAAGCCACCTTTCAGCATGAAAAACTCTTCTGGACGGACACGCGATGCCTGACCACAAATCTGGTCGTCGACACGGTCTGCGAGGACCGCGAAAGCAATGCCTTCCCGGGGTACCACCACACTGCGTTGTACTTTCTGAAGAATGCGGTCTGTTTTTCACTTACAAACCGGATAGCGTAAAGTTTTGGCCAAGAAAAACAAAATGTCCTTTTGAAAACTCCGTGGTTCTAAAAGACGCTCCGGTTAGTACAAGTTCCCGTAGTACAATGTAATTTTTACAGCCCGAGGAGCATAGAAAAACCGGCGTGGCACATTTCAAATGCTCGGTCGGCGAGCCATGTCAACCATAAATCTGTTGTGAAGTGTCAAGTGGAAAGTTGCGAATAAAATCGTTTATTAGCAAGACATTCGTTACAATACGTGATGCAGGCGATCTATTTAAATGCTTAGAAGGGCATGTTCTTGAAGCCTGAAAAGGAAAGCGCTATTGAAAGAATGGGATTGGAAATAACAATTCGGGAAATCGACTAACCGTTTCCGTTCTGGGAGAAACTCGGGGTGGAGGCGCCTAAACAAATGGATTTTGAGCACTGATATATTTTAAAAATATAAAAGCAATAGCTAAGAGAATTAAAAAATTACCGTTGTGTCCGTGCTGTCCGTATTGTCCGAATCCGCCGGTGGCGCGGCCTAAATGGTGTTTTGAAAGCTGGCAGGATTGTCGGTATTTTTTGCAGCTTACAGTGCCAGGGTTCAAAGTGAGAAAATTTATAATAAATGCAATACTCACTTCTGGATCCACCATTGCGCCCATTCTGGCTGTGCAGACGGAATCCTCCAGTCACGCCGTCTAAAAAACGTTCGATCGTACCGGATTCGCAATTTTCAGGCGCTTTTTTTAAAGATGTCTGAGTGCTAAAACGTACTCTCGCCGTCGCGCCCATTCTGGCTGTGCTGGCGGAAGCCACCGGTGACGCCATCTAAATGAATCAAATTAAACAAATTAAAAATTCTAGAATTTTTGTAATAAATCCTCACTTTCACCATTACGCCCGTTCTGGCTGTGTTGCCGGAAGCCTCCGGTGACACCATCTGAAACAAATAAACAGGCAACTTCAGATTACTGACTTTCAAATCCGTTTTGTCCGCTTTGTCCGTTTCCGCCTCGGCGTCCCGATCCGGAAGAGCGACTCCATTGGCGCTCAGGCTTCTGGGTGCTGGCACCGCGACGACCTTCGCCCTCATCATCGTGCGATGAGCTAAAATCTGGTTAGATTCGAAGTTCTAAAATCTCTCTAAACCTAGAGCATATTCACTAGTAATTTAAATCCTAGCCTAAAAAATTTCGTTAGCTGTCAATGCTATAAAGCTGGTTTGTCTGCTGTTGCCTTTAAACTAGCGTAAAATTCTCGAATTCCCTAGGAATCCCTGCCAGCTATCCTTCTCGAAACCCCCGCTTCAAGGGTCTTGAAACTAGCTCTCACCTGGTAGCGGCAACAGCCAAAACGAAGAGAGCGATGAGAATGAAGCACTTCATATCGGTGTATATGTCAGAATCCGTAGAACTGATGCATTCCACCACTCTTCCAAGCCTTATATACCCAAAACTAGCTGCTGATGTTACAGAACTGTCTAACTAAAGTTTTTGCATATTTAGGGGGTGAACACGCTTGTCCAGCTATGCCCACACACAACCATGACTCACGAGTGGGCGAGCAAGTTTTGATGCTGCTGGTGATATTTGGCGCTCTGCTTCGCTGGCGTTACTTTGCTCATAGGCCGAAACTGAATTATTTGTGGCTTTTGGGGGGGTGGATGACGTGCTGTTTAAGCTGTTAGGTAAAATTTTTTTGTTAGTTGAAATTTGTATATTATTGCTTTTGAATTTTTTCGCACATCGAATACGTCTTCGAAGATTCGCGTTTCTTGGAGAAATTCATTTTGATTTCTGTGACTTTCAAACGCAATTTCAGGGGTCGGTGATAGGGAAAAAATTGACGAGACACTCAGCGAAAGATTGACGTCATTCCCTACAGTTTGACCATATCTTACGTCATTAAAACTTTTTGAGAGTTTTGGCGATTATCAGACAACACCGTCGAGTCAATGCTTTCGAGGCTCCGCGGTCTTTTTGACAATTATGATACATCCGTCATCTTCCGCTTTTTTGGCTCCAAAGGCAAGACCAAAATTGTTTTTGCGCTCCTCTTTCCCCCTCAGGGAGGCAAGTGGTTGTCCGAATCCGTTTCCGGAAATGAACGCGGCCCTCAGCGGAGTGCCACCCCAAAACGGGGGCAAACCGTTCTTCCCGCTCTCCACTCGCCTCAGACCCAATCATCGGTGGGTGCGAGGTGTCGCAATTTAGTGGGTATAGTGAAATGCATACTATAGAAATGATCCTATGAAGTATGATTTCGAATTGGGTGTGGAGGGGAGAGGAGATATAGAGAGAGGGTGGGCCAGGTGGGGGCCGAGTGGGGAGGCGATAGGGAACACTCAAAGAACGCGCGCGAAGGCGGAAAGAAAGCTGGCTAGACTAATTGTTGTATACCTTAAAATCCGTATAGAAAGCTACGTAAAATAATGTATAGAAAATCCGTACGCACCCCTCACATCCTTCTCTGAATGCTTCTTTCTCAAGAAAAAAATCGGGCTTGTTTAAGCTTCTTTTGTAGTTGTAAAGTATGAAGCTTTATACAGGTTTCGCAATGACTTTACATTATATACATTGGTTGTCGGGTCGGTTTTGCACAAATCGTGGCTTGTTGGTGATGTCGAGCATCGTCAGTGTGACGATAGGATGCGGAAGAGCTCGGCTTAAAAAAATTGTTGGCGTCAAGCTCTGCTTTTATTTTTATCCTATTACAGTTATATTTGACAGATCGAGAATTTGTAGTAAAACTTACGACTCGGCGTATCCAATTCATCAGCCGGTTGTTCGAGATGGACAATGGAAAACGCAATAGAGAGCAGGGCAGCACAGATAACGAGCCACTTCATGTTTCAAGTTCACTTTGAGTTTGTCTTGATTCTCCACCGTATATATCGAACTCTAGGGCCTGATATGCATATCAGTTCAGAGATCTGCTCAAAACATTGTCGCTTTTCAGGGCACGAAAATAGTCTGAGTCTCTCTCTCTCTCTCTCCCTCTCTCTCTCTCTTCTATGTCGTAACCCAAACACAGGTGTGAAAAGCTTCATACAATTTATGCACACAAATCTGATCAAGCGTCATAAGGGTCAAACATTTTCGAAAACACATACGTGAAGCGACAAAACAAATTCGAAGGACACGTTCCCTGAAAGCACAAAGGAAAAACGGGAATATAAAAATGGTTCTAGAAGTGGTTTCGAATGTTGGTTTGTGGGATGGGCAAGGTGAGCAATGGATACAAAGTCAACACGAAATGTCAAAGCAAATTAACACAGTGGAATGCGAGCGTTAGAACAAAATGGAATGTGCGATACCCATGACGAGAAAAATTTCAGCAAGAATTTGAAGTTGGAAGGGGAAGATAGTTGGATTTTACTGCTCTAGGAAGCTGACTTTGGCCGTGTGTTTTCGACACAGTAGAGCGAGTGTTAATAGTGTTGTCAAGCCGATTGTGGCCATTACGGAGATGAGAAGGTTGAAACTAGAATCGTTTGTAAATTAAGGGAAACACTGTTTCTTTCCGCTTCTCTCTCTCTCTCTCTCTCTCTCTTCTTTCTTTCTATCTATCTATTTATCTCTCTCTCTCTCTCCCTCTCTCTCTCTCTCTCTCGCTCTCTCTTACTATCTGGTTCTCTAGCTTCCTCACTCTAGTTTCCTCTCAACACTCGCCCTCTCTATCTCTCTCTTTCTGTCTCTCTCGCTCTCTCTCAAGCATAATTGACAAAATTGTTACCTCCACTGCGACATGCAAATTTCGACCCCTCCTTCCCACTGCTCGGCCAGCGACTGGGCGACCTTGTTGTTGGATTTATCTAATAGAAGGTAGATGGCTCGTGAACCTAAAGCTTACTCGCATCCTCGTCAACCTCAAACACGGTCATGCTCTGCGAAAATACATCAACATCCGGGCCTCGCGGCTGGATGACCGTCACATTTTGTGCGGAACGCTTTCCTCTCAACGTATTCGGGCAGGCGTCGGAGGTTCTCTGAAAAATAAATCGCGATTTATTATAAATAATAACTATTTGATATGATATTCTTCATGGTCATTACCAGAAACCCCACTTCAATGGTCCTTTAAAATTACAACTGTACGTGAAAGTAACTAACGTAAAACTCACATGACAAGCCCCATCCTCCTTGAGCGATAGCCTTATTTGACATTGGAAATACAGGGATGGTTGGTCAGCAAATTTGAACACAAACGAGCTCTGCCCACCGGTGAGGGCCGAGGTGTAGACCAGGTTGGTTAGTAGGTATCTGAAGATCACGCTGTTAACCCTGGCCAAATTTTAGCATAAAGGGTTCCTATACCCTATACTCTTTGGATAAAATTTTGCGCTTGCCAAAACAGGCGTCTGGGACCGGCCCTGCCCCAGCAGTGGTGCCGAAAAATTCGGATCCAACTGTGTTTGTTTGCCAAAGGGGCTCTACGTTTTTGACAAGGCAGACTAGTTTTTTTTGTTGTTTTTGCGGAAGACCGGCATCAAAGCTGGTTGCAGCTTTTAGCAATATTTTGCCTAATTGCGTGTTGCCATTAAAAATAGATCAGCAAATTTCCTGGGCTACGGTTTACTTTACCCCCCCCCCCCCCAGCCGGAAATTTTTGGCTAGAACTTTTTTATTTTAGATTATTGTAGGCTCAAATTAAAACTCTTAGTATATTTTTCGACGCTCTATCGAATCGCGTTGCAAAAAGCTCAACAAAATAAGCGAAAATACCGAAAACCTTGAGACCTTTCGGCTGTGGGGGGGCGGTAAAGTAAACTCTTACCATTTCCTGTGATTGGAAAACACGGAGATCAATCTAGAAACTAATTTAGATCGATAGATAACTATCTTTTTCTAATTTTTTTGCGTTTTCATCTGCCACTTACTTGTCCACAGAGCATCCATTTTCATCGAGCAACATCGCCTGTTTTCCGCTCTCCTCCCGCACATTACATGAGTGTACGGTGGCGCAAAATGGAGATTCTGAAATTTAAGATCTCATGCATTTGAAGTCCCAAAAAATTCCATAATTTCATGATTGATTTATTTCCCAACTTTTGACTTCCCGACCCTTCAATTCCTCAAGAAACGCGCCGCTTATTCATCTCAAAAATGTGCTAAAAGCCGCACTCTTGGCCCTCCACCCCCTCGATAAGTGCCCACTTTGCGCGGTTTCGACTTTTCAAGGGGGATTCCCGATCCGGCCCCGGCTGCCCGAGCTACGAGAGACATCTAATTCCGGAAAACGACCCGAATCCGGCCCGAAAAACGGGTGGAACACCTCGAGGGGCCAACACCAACCGGTTTCTGGATGGGCCGGATCCTCGCAGCTCCAGCGGTGGTAGACATGTTGGCCGACCGTCGCGAATTTGACCGGCTCGCCCTTGTCGGTTTCGGTCAAGACCTAGGAAGAAAAAACTGAATGATAAAATGTAATCAGTTGTACTTCGTAGCGGCAGGTTGGGAGCTGGAAGGTTGAGGTGATCGTTTCTTCAGGAACTCCACTAAAAGACACACAATTAAAAGGGGCTTCATTCTCTTTCTCTCGCACGCCTTCTCTAGCTTTCTTTCTCTCACGCTTTCTCGCTCTCTTTCTCTAGCTTTCTTACTCTCTCGCTGGCTCCCGTTCTTTCTAACTGTCTCTAGCTCTCTCCCCCTCTCACCTTCCTTCTCTCTTCTCTCAATTGACCCATTTTGGTTGGTGATTTTCTAACAATTATCAGACCCCTCGGCCCAAACTTCCCTCAAACAATAACTTTTCGAAACCAGCGCATTCCCCCGACCCGACAGCTCCGACAGTTCCCGGATTGATGAGTTTTTCTAGTGCCTCCAATCTCGAGAGAGTCATGTGCCAGCCGGTCCATTTTTGGCACTTGGATCCGGCATGGAATGAGTTATCTGATCGCATGCGATTCCAGGATTTCGATACCAGGTGGCTCAACTGGAAACAGATCAAGAGAACCTACTCATCCAGTCCAAATTGATTTTGGCCGTTGGCGGGTCGGCGGGCAAGACCTCCGGCTGCCGCTGGATCGTCGCCCTGGATGTTCTTCAACTGCTCGGGGCTCATGCTGAAAGAGGTCTTGGAATAGAGTAAGCTACGAAACGGCGAAACTTGCTATTTCTCTCTCTCTCTCTCACTCAGGCTCTCTCCTTCTCTCTCTCCCTCTCTCTCGCACTCTCGCTCTGTCTTCCCTTACTCTCGATCTCTTTTGATTCTAGCTTGATTTTTGGATTTTTTATCGACTTTAGGTGACTTTTTTCGAATCCCTCCTTTTCTGTTGGTTCAGCCCGTTCAATTTTCTGCTGCGATATGATCTGCGTTCTTTCACCCCCCCCCCCTCCACCCTCACCGACATCCCGACTCTATTTCCCTTCTGAAAAAAGGACAACTCAGGCTCGATTTTTCCGAAAGCCCCCGCCCCGCGACGACAAAGGGCCGTTAATTTCCATGTCAGTGCACGGACACCCAAAAATGGAAAAACCAAGCGTGGAACAGGCGTTGATCGCTCGGGTGTGGGTTTTGGAGGGTCAAAAAAATTGTGAAAGACCTACCCGACATCGAGCTGCTGGGAAACCGTTTTTTCCACTTCCGTGTAAAAGCACTGGACGTTGTAGGAGCGGTCGACTTTTGTCACGAACATCTAGAAAATTTCGGCTTAAACTTGCTTAGGCCTAGGCTTAATCGGGGTTCGGCCTAACCCAAAATTTGCATACCGGGTGGAAGGAGATGATGATCGTCACCGAAAGGAACAGACCACGTGGTTGACTCTGAAAATAAAGCAGTAAGCAAATTTTCTTTATCAACAAAGAGTCCCTTCTCAGTCCCTTTAATATGCATACACCTTTAATCGACTCAACCCTCGAATTTGGGCCAATCGCCACTTTTTTCCGCGACCATACTACTGGCGGAAAGGACGGTGGTGTGCAATGGTCGTTGGCTAATTCGCCACACGATGAGTTATGGGGTCGAGAATCGGCGGGCTTTGTCCGAGCGGTAATGTGCCGGAATGGCCATAGTCGGATTGTTAGAAACGATCTTCTCCGGACACTTGGCCTAATTTGCAAACCATGACGGCCAGTTTGGCCCGGTTTCGATTGTTAATGGGCTAGGAAATTGCGTTGACAGATTTAGAAAATCGACAAGGTTTTTGCATAGCGTAAACCAACCAGAATCCGTTATTTTTCTGTTTTCGGCTTGCTCCAAATTTCATTGCGTAATTTGGCAAGTTTAATACGTGTTTAGCCGGAAAACTCACCGATCGTTGCCTCCTAACATCACAGCTGGAGTAAGGTACGGTAAAATTGACGCTATCCTCGAGTGTGGCGTCTTTTCTGCATGCTTGATCGTCGTAATGGCCCTATTTTTGAATTCCGGAATGAATTACCGACGAAACCTTAACGTAGACATGCCCTTCAAATTCCTTTTGGGTAAGAAACCTGACGTTAACACCATCTTGGCTGCATTCGACGATTGGATCTTCTGAAAAAGCTCATATAATAATAATATATTATTCCAACCAAGGTCACAAAGTCAACCTTACAGTGTGAGGTCAGGTTAAATAGGTGGTGGAGAGGATGTAATGGGGAAATTATGATTAATTGTAAATATTTGAGTGTGGGGGTGGTGTTTTTGCGAGTGCTTGGTATGCAAATTTGACCAAAATCGCGTTTTCTTAAAAATGGACAAGCTTCAACGGTGCCTCGTTTTTAATAAAATATTTTTATATGCTCAACTGGTTACTTTCCGTTTATTTTCCAGCCCGTATCCTATTGCAATTCAATTACTCGGCCCCAAAAACAAGGCGTTGTTTCCAATTTCGGCCTTCCTTTCTTTTACTCCATTTTTCCGGGCGTTGCACCCGCTGCGAAATTGGATTAGAAATGCGATGTGGAGGGTCGGGTTAGAGATGCGGAAAAGATAGAAAATTTTTGGCGAGTTGGAATCGTGTCCGGGATCAAGTTTTGAGGGACGGGAAACTTCAAAAAGTTCTATTGAGCGTAGAAATGCAACATTTTTATTTCAAAACTGTTACAGTTTCTGGCAACCTTTTGAAAAATTAATTTCTAGCCGTTTATACGAGCCGAGAAATGCTGCTTTTTTAGCAATTTCCTAGAGCACGGTTCTGGTCTAGAAAAAGGCATGCTGGCAGAGATTCTTAGAACGAGGCAAGCTAGAGAAAATTTAGGGCAGTTAGTCAACGAGCAGCGACCCTAAAATGGCAACCTGGCAGAGATTCTTGAGGATTTAAATTTTGTTCTAGGCCCCTAGATTCAATTTTCCCTCTTGACCTTCCCCAATTACTCGTTCGCTTTCACTCCTATCCACAAATTGTACTACAGTTCCATCTTTCACCAGACCAGTGAAATTGGCCTCGACCCGGATAGCTTTCCCCCTTCCCTCCCGCTTGGTTGTACAATTCCAAAGGCGAGAGAGCGAGCAGAGAGCGAGCGAGCGAGCGAGAGAGAGAGGGAGAGAGAGAGAGACGGGATCTGTTCCCGAATGGTTATATTGTTGCTGTGGAATGTATATTCTCATTCAGCCAACGCCAACGGCTCCCTACCAATCCATCGATATGTAGGGCAGTGGTGTGTGAGCTGGACACAATATGCCCTCCTGGGGGCATATAAGCACTTTCAGCCCATTGTGCTCCCGAGCGGCGCGCGTATGCAAATGAAGCCGCCGAAGCTATGGAATTGAATGACCGCTACTGGGTTACGATTCGGGATATTGTAATTCGGCACGGGATGGCCTTTTCAGGTTTCGAAAAATTTCCAAAAACGGAAAAAATCCTTAAGAGACATAAATTTGGAAAATATGAGGTCTAGAAGCAAGATTGAAATGAAGGAGGCGGATTAACTTCGGGTATATTTAAATCTGCAGTATTTCGGGGCGAAATATGTAATTTTAAAAAAAAAAAACCAAAAAAAAAATTTTTTTGAAAAAATTATTAAAATTTTTAAAATAAAGATCTACGATAACCAATTAGGATACTTTAATATAAAAATTGCTGTAGTTTGAACCCAAAGACTACAAATTCCAATTTTAGTTTTTCGATCTATAGCTTTTCCTATTTTTGCTGTACCCAAAAAAGGTACTTTCCACGCCTCGCACCCCATAGGGTCAAGTGCATACAAAAGGTGCTCGGTTTTTCATCCCCCAAAGGCATTCTGCCAGCTCCCTAGGGTTGTACCGTATAATTATCGATCTCACCTTTGCTCTCTCACTCTCTCCCTCTCTCTCTCTCTCTTTCTCTCTCTCTCTCTCTCTCTCTCTCTCTCTCTCTTTCTCTAGCCCCCAAGAAACTAGAAACTCTCTCCCCTACCCTGCCATGACCGTTCTTTGTTGTCTAATGGACTAGAGTCCCCCTCTTCCCTCCCAAAAGCGAGAAGGCCTATTCATAATGGAAATTCATAAAGGTATTGCCCAACGGGGTCACGTTGCCTTGGCTGGCCTGGGATACCGTTAATTGGATGGTCAGGGAAAGGAACGAAAGCGAGAAGTGTAACTTTCCTAGTGAGTTCTCTTGTGAAGCCTGGGCGTCTAGCTGTCGGGAGCGGAATGGGAAGATATTTTCGATTAAAATGGCTTTTAAACTTATGAGGACCTTGAGCTAAATTTCAGTAACCCTGGAGTACCAGCAAAATGCAAGGATTTAAAATTCGAAGTATTACTTACGTTTTAGGCCATTATCGATTAGTTCTGCAGTCGTCAATGACAGACACAGGAAGGGGATTATCTGAAAAAAACGTCTATTATTCTCGAAGTCCCGCTCTCTCTTAATCACTCGGTTTCGCTCTTTCTCTTGTTCCCTCACGCCTCCCTATCTCTCCCCCTCTCTCACTCTCTCACTATCTCGCCCATCTACATCTTTATACAAATTCCTACCACCCCCGCTCGTCACTCAAATATTTATTCAAATTCAGACCGACATCGGCTGCCGAGCGGCCCTTGACCGACTGAAGGTCAAAATATTCAGAGATTTGGGTCTGTGAAGGTCCCATGTCCTTCGCGGCGGATGAGCACATGTTTTCGACTTTGGGATTGGATATATGGGGGTGTAAGAGTGAATTATTTGCATGTAGAATCCCCAGGTCAGGATGCTCGACCTCGAGGAAAGCAAATTTATGGCTGACTCATGGTCAGGGAAGTAATGCAAAAAGTCGGTGTAAGGGGATTGCAATTCGTACTATCGGGTTTCGAAACAGAAAAATCTTTAAAAATTGATACCAATTGTTTTAAACCATTGTTTAATAATTTTGTAAAATGTAGTAAAGAAAGTTTTAGGGAAATTAAATTATTTTAATTAATTAATTTAGGGGTAATACGTCAAATTGAATAAAAATTGACCTAGATTATGCCGAAATCGCAAAATTATCTCGAATTTTTTCATATTTGAGCCATCATTAGAGTTCAAAACTCAGCGCCTTATAATTTTCTAAAACTTTCGAAATTCGGTATTTACTCCTTTCTCTACAAAATGAGTAATCAGGCCCTCCTAAATTCCACAGAATTCCTTGCCCCAAACAAAAACCTTTCTACGACCACTTGAGCGCCGCCCCGGTTTACGGCCGCGCTACGCGCCTGGGCACTTTTCGGCGCGTAAAAACAAGCACAGGAATTTTGCGCGAAACCAGTTGAGCGGCTGTTAAATTTTTTCCAGTCTTGGACATACCGTTAGCGATGTAAAACTACGTAATGATGCCATTTCGCCGCGTCTCCCTCGTCTGTGTCGGCCGCTACGGTCGAAAAGCGGTGGTTTGGGCCCTGAAAAGTCAAAAATCTGTTAGATAAAAGTTTTACAGTAATTTTTAGGTCAAAATATTGAGAAAAACCTGGCAAGTACGTGAGAAAACAAACTGACCCTGAATAACAAAAAATTTTATCGGTGAAGTGGAGCCCTAATCAAGCAGTCCCTCGAGAATATTACGTATAGCGCTAATTCTTCCAAAAATGCCCTTTAATGCCAAAAAAATTCCCAAAAAATTGCAAATCAGTAAATTCCAGATCTAGAATACATAAAAACATCTTCCAAAGATGCAACGAAAATGGAAACGGAATTTCCGGATTAGAAAACGTATTTCGGAACCGGAACCGGAAGTGGGAAACTTATTTTTGGAACGAAATTGCCGTTCCAAGCAGACAAAATAGACCATTCTTTTTATCATGCGTACATCCCTCTGAAAGAAAACTTATTTCTAACCATATCCACTCCACTGAACGGATGAAAAACCCATCAGATAAACCGCTCAAAAACAAATTGAGAACATCGGCAAGGCGATTCCGGGGTTAATGGCCGTACGCGGCATGTGATAGCACGGTAGGTGATGAAGATTGGCACGGCAAATCCGTGAAATCGAGAGATATCCCCCTCGGTGAGGGGAAAACAAGACGAACAGCCCATTCCTCCCGGTTGCCGCGCGGTCCGTAATGTTTTTTCAGCTGATTGGGAATCGGTTGAGGGGTGATTGGTTGGGATGGGTTTTGGGTGAGTAATTTTTGGTAATTGAATTTTACTATCACTTCAAGCTCATTGGCGACAAAAATAAAATATATTTCCTCCAAACTGCGGATAATTCTTCTGTATGACCTCGTTAACTAGAAATTCATCCCAAGGGCATCCTAATTTTCCGAATCCACCAAAAAGCCAAATTTGCTGGCGTCACAAAATTTGCGTGCCAAACTTGCCAATTTTGACGTAATTTGCGTTTTAGACGGCGTTTAAGTCGCTATTGAGTTGGTTCAAGGAAAATAGCGTCAGATAGAGAGTGAGAGTGTCAAAAAAGCAAGAGAGGGAGAGAGCGAAAGAGAGAGAGAGAGAGAGAGAGAGAGAGAGAGAGAGAGAGAGAGAGAGAGAGCGAATGAGTGAGAGCGAGAGAGAGGATGAGAGAGAGAAAAGTCTGATATAGAGAATGGAACATGCAGCAATATCGTGCCCGGATTTAACGTTCAAGCCATTCAAGCCAAAAGCGATTTTGAAAAGCCAAGGCATGGAAAAAGAAGTGTGTTGTGTGCAGGCGTGTACCCCAGAGACTAGGGGCCACCTGATGGTCTTTCTTTCGTGGTAGCGTGGTGGATAATTCGTGGGTCATTCGGGCACGCACGTGGGGACACCGACACACACATACCGGTGCTGCTTATTGCCCCCTTGGCCCGGTGAAGAGATCCCCAAAAAGGAGCCGATCGACAGCTGGACACGGTTGGAACTGTCATTGGGGCGAGGGGGTAGGTAAAAGCAAGTCTTAGCCCAGTCCTACGCCTAAATACCTCAGCTGAGCCAAAAACCTAACGGAACTAGACACAACGCTAAAAAACCGTTCCAAAAATTTAAGGATTTTCGCAGATACCCCACCCGATCGGGCGGTAAAATGGGGTAAGTGGTCATAGTAGGGTAATTTGGGATGATCCGAGGGCATTTGGGGCGACGAACTCTCGAATACAACCATACTGGGAAGGGGGAGGAGGAAGAGATCCTCCTCCTCCCCTGGTTACTGCTTAGCCCTATCCCCTCAACACTACGCAACGCTCCGCCCATTGAGGCTCCCGCAATACCAGTCACCTTTACTAGGAAAGGGTGAGGAACGGAAATTAAGGTCCGTGAAGAGATTAGGCTTGTGCTTAGGAATGTACTTATGTTTAGGAAGCTTCGATTATGCTTAGGCCTAGGCTTGAGCTTACAAGGAGACGTTTTTAAGTGGGCACGGATTTTCGGAACGGGACCTAGCCTCTCCTTGTGCAGAATTTTTTGCTGATTAAAACGTATTTTGTACAATTTGCGAAACGACCGGAAAACCAAAGTTATGAGGGTTTAAAGTGTGAAAAAGGCCAAAAATGGCCTACTTTCGGCACCTATAAAATATAGCAGAATAAGTTCCCACGAAAACTAATTAGTGCATCTTGCTCAAAAAATCACGCTCTTTCGAATCAGCCATCTCATGAAACAAGTTCGAACATTTTTTCAAAAAAATTAATTTAGACGACATGGTCCCCCATGTGAAATTTCAGCAATTTGACGAAATTTTGAAATTTCCGCGAGACATTGCTCATTCGAAAGAGCGTAATTTTCTGAGCAGGATGCACAAATTAGTTTTCGTGGAAACTTATTCTGCTATATTTTATAGGTGCTGAAAGTAGGCCATTTTTGGCCTTTTTCACACTTTAAACCCTCATAACTTTGGTTTTCCGGTCGTTTCGCAAATTGTACAAAGTACGTTTTAATCAGCAAAAAATTCTGCACAAGATCGGCTAGGTCCCGTTCCGAAACTCCGTGCCCACCTAAAAGCGTCTCCTTGTTTAGACTTGTGCTTGGGTTCCTGATAGGCTTCGGCTCAGGCTTAGGTTTCAAAGTTGAAGTACGCCGACATTCGTTTTAAGAGAATCCGCTATTACCAGCAATTATTTTTTGATTTCTTCAAGCCATCTCCAACCCTTTGTTCAGCCCCGTCAAGCGCCTCGGCTTCCAGGGGTTCAGGTCATGACTAGGGCGCAAGAACCGTATTTTGTGCAAGATGGCATGAAAGATCAAACGTTGATCTATCAGCATAACACTGATCGAAGGTGGAAAAATAGGGACTAAATTTCATGCTGCATATGGCTCTGATTACGCATCAAAAATAGCCAAGCCCTAAAACCGCCAGAACTTCCTGCCTACTATACAAAAACCCACAAGCCCCGGCCACTTTTTTCAGGGTCATTCCCCGCGCGTACCAAGCGCCTCCTTTTAAGGCACACGTCGCCGCGCGCGCTAGGAATTCCTTGTCCAAATCGAGGCCAAAACTTGATGGGCTGTAAAATCGACCAGGAGAAGGGTGGAGGTGGGCTAGGGAAAGGTAGTAGTAGTAGGGGCACGAGCCACGACCCATGAGCCCTGGACTCGATGGTCGATTTGACTTTTTGGAAGTGGTGTGGCTCTAGACCGGCGCGCGCAAAAATCCGTGTCAATTGCCCCGGCGCGGCACAAAGAGAACGCGCGCGCGCCGGGGGCCAAGGCGTTCGACTCGGGAGGAGGGGAGGGACAAAAACACAGCGCAATTGCGGTGCGGGATTATCCCCGGGGGCAATCCTGACTCAGCGTCAATTATTGCGAGTTTTGACGTGTTTTTTGGTGGTATGTTGGGGCTGGAAGTAGGTCCCGGTCTGAATAGCGGGTTTCTTAAAATTCTGATTCTCGTCAGGTCAAATCTTTGACTCGGTTTCTCACTCTCTCGCTCTATCTCTCCCTTTCTCTCTCTCTCTCTCTCTCTCTCTCTCTCTCTGCCTCTCTCGCTCTCTCTCTCTCTCTCTTGCTCATTTCCTCTTTCCCACACTCTATTTTTCCATCCTGTCTCTCTCTCGCACCTTAATTCTCTCTCTCGCACTCCCTCGATCTCGCTGTCGCTCTCTCTCTCTCTCTGCCTCGCTGTCTTTCTGGTTCTCGCGCTCTCTCGCTCGCTCTCCGTGACATGCTTCTGAATTCCAAGAATATCTTTATCGAAACCAATTATGCAAATCATCTTACAAACACGAAAGAACGGTAGAATAGAGGTAAGGTAGACCGGAGAAATTTCAAAACTATCAAAAGCACAAGCGTAGTATAGACATTTTTCTAATTCGAGAATTTCCACTTATTCCTCCATGACTGTCGTGGTTTCCTTATCTTCACCATCATCAGTCACATCTAAAATTTCCACAAATTTTTTCAAACGACCTTCTAACCGTCTGTCTCCTCAGTGGTCTCTGCTTCCGTCGTCGTTTCCACTTCCTCAGATCCAGAAGCTTCTACATCTTTTTCTGGGTCCTGAGGTGCTTTCTGTTCCCTCAGAAAGTTCACCGTCAGTGGTTGTCGTGTCTTCTGAAATCGTTGTCGTCTCAGTAGTGTCGGGTTCTGCCGTCGTGAACTGATCACGGTAATGGTATTTCCTGCCAAAGAAATCTAATTCGTGACGATGCGGTTAATTTTTGAGAAGTTACCTCTTAGGAAGTCAAAGATACCACGGCTGTCGCGGTTCAGTTGGTCGTCAGTGTCGCTACCGCAATCGGCCTGGAAAACGTGCTTAAAGCGTAAGATTAAGGATATTTTTAGAAGACTGAAGACTTTTAGACTGAATTTTTAGAAGGATCACCCCTTAAAGGAACCGGCAAACCTTTTTTAAGTTTCTCATGAATGAATACAATATAACACGCGGCAAAACTTACGGTATATTCCGCAATTGCTCGTTTTCCACGAATGGTCCAGTCCTTGCTGTCAAATTTAAACCACGGTGTTCTGGTGGCCCTTTCGTTTTCGGCCGGTTCCGTCGGCTCGTCGCTAGTCTAAGGATACCAAGTTATTAAAAACATCTGGCTAGTCTATAGTTGAAGCGACGAGAGAGAGAGAGAGAGAGAGAGAGAGAGAGAGAGAGAGTGAAAGAAAGATATTTAGGAATTAAGGAAAATACGAGATAACTTTTGCTCTAAACTTACGCTATCGTCTTCAATATCTCGTTTTGCCCGGCCCTCCATCCATGGATTGGTGCGATCAAAAGTGGCCAGCGGCTTTTCGGTGCTTTCATCAGAACCCGTCGACTCGTCGCTTATCTAAAGTGGCTCAACCCGTTATGAGAAAAAGATTCAAGTGAGAATATTGCCAACCATTGGCTGACTTGCCGTCGCCTTAACGCGTGGTATTCAGACAAAGCTGATATAACCCTTGTTGCAAAACCTACCGTGTCTTCAGCAATTGCACGTTTTGCTCGGCTCATCATCCAGTCATTCCGGTCGAATTTATGCCAGGGCCCCATCGTGTTTTCATCATATCCGATGCTATCTCCACCCATAAGCTCGTCACTCGTTGAGTCCCTTAAAAACCGTACCGCATACCGTCTTCCAGCAATAAATTAAGATATTTATCCATCTAACCAAACCGTTACTTGATGTGGATCCAAACTCATTTCCCCCATCAACTAAACACAAAATCAACCTGCATATTTTACTAGACTGACTCATCGAGACGCGCCGTGTGTGGGTAGCTGCTACAATATATGCAAAGGACCCGGGCGGACACATCCAGGCACACATCAACTACTTCTTTTGGGGGCTCTATAAAACCTGGGCCCCGGGTTCTTGCAGTCAGACAGCCCTCAACCAGCTCTCGCTTCACCCCGCCCTTTAATAAGCATGATGAAGACCGCCGTTGTCGCTTGTGGACTACTTGCCGTCGTTGCGGCTTTGTGAGGAATTTTCGAAGTTTCTAGCTAACCTATTTCCCCCAAATAAGCTTTTTCATTTTAATTTCAATCAATTTTTTTGTTCAGCTCGACCCCGCGCTCGATGAACGGCGAAAACGGACGCTTGGGAGAACAGCAAAACGGCCAAAACGGCCAGAACGGACACCAGAACGGACAGTTCGGAGGCCAGGGCCAGCAGGGCCAGCAAGGCCAGCAGAACGGCAACGGACAATTCGGAGGACAAGGTGGGTCAGCTTCAATTCTTAGCAAGCTTGCCGATGAAGCGCGACGCAAACACCAATATCATCACCAGCTTTTCCAGGCTCCCCGGCTCCGTTCGGCAACCAGAACGGACAGCAAAACGGACAGTTTGGAGGCCAGCAGGGACAACAGGGTCAGCAAGGTCAGCAGAACGGCAACGGACAGTTCGGTGGACAAGGTGAGAGAGAGAGATGGAGAGAGAGAGATGGAGAGAGAGAGATGGAGAGAGAGAAACGATATATAATTCTGTTTTTGTTAGGTCGCTTCACCGCTCCTTCCGGAAACCAGAACGGCCAGCAGAACGGACAGTTCGGAGGACAGGGACCGCAGGGTCTGCAGGGCCAGCAACAGGGCTTCAACGGCCAGGCTTTCGGCCAGTAAAGCAACATTTTTCTCCAAGTTCATAAATTGATTTGTGAATGGCGTGAAATAAAGTGTATGAAATCAGCCTTCCAAAAAATGGATTCTGCCACAAAAGACATCAAGCCAAGTTAACAAACCGTTTTTGACCTATTTCAGCAAAAACACCCTTGAAATGATTAAATTTAAGTTGTTAAAAATACTGTGCCATTGCCCCCAGGCGGGATCGAACCACCGACCTTTGGTTTACAAGACCAACGCTCTACCACTGAGCTATAAGGGCAGCTGGAAGAGCGGGAGGGGAAAGGGCTTTTGTATGAACAGCCGACATCCACGCACTAATCGGAGGCTGATGAATCGTTTCGGCGGGAAGGGAGAAGAGGCCCTCTCATCCCCGCTTCCACACCGCCCGTTTAGCTCAGTGGCAGAGCGTCTGTCTCGTAAACAGAAGGTCCACGGTTCAATCCCGTGAGTGGGCAATTCATTTTGCCTTTTGAAGAAAACGTTCTGATGGAAGCTTGGTAACGCTTCCAGGTCTACGGAACCAATTTTGACAAGTGTTTAAGTCAGTTTTGTCGGTAAAAGGTGACGTTAGCGACAGACAGATAGAGAGACAGATAAACAGATAGTCTCACTGCTTTAAAATCGAACAGAACTTACAAAGCGACGGAGGCCACCACCATGCCAGCAATGAAGACGATTTTCAGCATTTTCAAATTTAGCTAGAAGTAGAGCGTCCCAGTCAAGTTTAAGTGTACTCTCTCTCAATTTGTCCTACTTTTATATAGCCAGCCACGCCCGATGTATGAAGTGCTCGCTGTGGCGATTTTGCATAAATTAACCTTTGTTATTTTCCGGGTCTTCTCCCCGATGACGGCTGAGCATACACCAGTTATTGAAGGTTACGCGCAAACATTCGGTTTTCATATGAAAATCGTGAATTTCGATGCTGCTGATGACATTACGAGCGGCCCCTAGCTACAGTTGTACTGGCGTTGTACCGTCTTCTGGACGTTAGGCTGCCGAGGTTTAGGGTGAAACTAGAGAAAATTAATTCGGTGTCTAAAACTGTTTTTGCCATTGCCAAAAAAGACGACAATTTTAACGTTTCGGCTTGGCAAATGATTCGTATAACGTTCCGAATTTTGGCCCCAAAAACCAAAAAGGATTGCCCACTCACGGGATTGAACCGTGGACCTTCTGTTTACGAGACAGACGCTCTGCCACTGGGCTAAACGGGCGATGGGGTGGTGATGATGAGAGGGCCTCTTCCCCCTTCCCACCCACATTGATTCATTAGCCTCCGATTAGTGCGTGGATCTCGGCTGTTCATACAAAAGTCCGTTCCCCTTCCGCTCTTCCAACTGCCCTTATAGCTCAGTGGTAGAGCGTTGGTCTTGTAAACCAAAGCTCGGTGGTTCAATCCCGCCTGGGGGCAATGGCACTCAATTTTTGACTGCTAAAATTTAATCCTGCAACACAGAGCTTTTGCTGAAATGGAACGTAACTCTATTTGCATAAATAGCTTGGGTTTTTGTAAGAAAATCTAGTTTTTTTTTGGGAAGCTAAATGCATGCTCTATTCATCCGGTCAAAAATCAGTTTATGAACTTGGAGCAAAAAATTGTTGCTTTACTGGCCGAAAGCCTGACCGTCGAAGCCCTGTTGTGATTTTGCCATGGGCAAAAAAACACAAAATTTTACGGTTTCGATATGGTAAAATGCTCTGTATAATGTCCCAAACCTTCACCCCCAAAAAAAAACAAAAAGAATTGCCCACTCACGGGATTGAACCGTGGACCTTCTGTTTACGAGACAGACGCTCTGCCACTGAGCTAAACGGGCGATGGGGGACGGGGCTGGGGAGGGCTCTTACAGCTTTCCGAAAGAGCCGGCCTTGACCCGGAAGCTGGCGTTTGTGCAAATACTGGCAAGCTGGGATGGATTTTTGGATTCACATTTGTTTTTGGAACGTGGCCACAAACTACAAAAATGTCAGCCTAATGCAAGTACAAGAAAATTGCTATTTTCTCTTTTTTTATAGATTCGTTCTGAGCGCTGAAGGCAAAACGATTGATTTTTTGATCTGTGGTATCATTTCCATTTTGCTACAAACTACAAATAAGAACAAATAATCCCGTAGCAAATTCTGTGCGTATTACTCATTGTGCGGTTTCCTGGTTTTGTGCATTTTCATCCAAGAAAAGGTATATTTCTCATTTTTATTATGATCCACTTGTACACACAATAATCAACGGCGAACAATTGGTTGATCTCGTAGCTGCCGCACTACGACAGACTCCTTTTTACACACAAAAAACATATAGTAAAGGGCAACCGAGAAAATCGTAGAAATCGACCCGAATCGTTCAAAATGGGGGACGGGGGCAACTTTTAGAAAACGTTAAAAAATCCAGTAAAAATCGGGTAAATAGGTAATTAGCACAAGCTTCTTTGCACCGAGTGGGGGTGAGAAAACGGTCGTAAAAATCGTCTCAAAAACAATTAAAATTTGAGGGAGGCAAATTTTCGAGATCTGTCACCATAGGGCGGGCCGCTGAAAGAGTACGAAGAAAATATACAGTTAGTTTGATCTGAGTGGAGGTTCTGGGGAAGGACGGAATTTTGCAAAAATGACAAATATAACTTTTTTTGTACACACAAATAAAGACTGGGGGGGCTGACTAGCATTGATTAGGGAGGAAGGGGAATTGCCATCACGTCGGGGCGCTGCACACGGGTATCAAAAAAGTGTAGAGAAAAACCACAAAAATGACAAATACAGCCGGAAAAAGCGAGGAAATCATAGAATCGTTTGCATGGTGCGGGAAACCCTGTAAATTCGCAGACACAGAAAAAAAAATGGCCGGGCGGTGGAGAATCGGAAAAATAGGCGGAGGATTTTCTGGGGGGGAATGCAACAGCTTTCAGGGGAACAGTAAGTCTAGCAGATACGCAACTAGTAGGGGTTACTGTACTGGGGCGGAACTGGGTACGGTAGCGGGTGGAATACGCTCCAAACTACAACATCGCTTTGATGGAACTAAAGGCACTGTAAGCTTGTCAAAAATCGAATTTCTACTGCTTAGGCTTAGGCCTGGTTTCCTTTTAGCTTACAGTCGCCTTAGAACCCCTCATTGCATATTCCTGGCCTGGGCCAACGACTGGGCTAGAAGCGGATGGAACGCCTCCTGACTCGGAAAGTACAAGGGCAGGCTAGCATGGGTAATTGGCGGAAAATCGTCAATTTCGGGCTCGTCTTCATCGGAGACGTCTCCAGAAGGGCCGGACCAGCTGCCGCCTGGGCTGTCGTGGTTCCAGCCGCGGGCGTTTGGACCGAATTTGTAGACTAGTCGTCGGCCGGAGACCGGAAGTAGGATTTTCGTGTTGTAGTAGTATCTGGAAATTAAGGATTTATACAATTTTTTTTTACGTTTTGTAGACCTTAGCTTATACTCCGGCTTAAGCTAGTCATTTCCCCTAGAAAAACTCATAAAACCGCCCATTTCCCCCTACATTAAGCTCCTAGCAGCGCTCATGAAACACAATCCCTTCCCGCTTCCCCCTCGCCTGGAAAACTCTACAAAAGTTTCCGCCCCGCCGATCTTTGAGACATTTTTTTTGGCGAAGCGGCGAGTTATGCCTAGGGCTTGGCCGTAGGATGGGGGAAAATGGCGGAAGTCGGGTGCCGGGGTGGGCGTTTGGAAAAGTAGTTGCATTCTTCGGATACCTCGGAGAAGGGTGATCTTTGAGTTTCTAGAGACCCCCGGAATTTGCAGTCGGCCGGAAAATTGGTTTTAAAGGGGTGGTGAAGGCAAAAAGTATTTTTTAATGAATTTTCGATACTTTAATTTTTTAAACCCCCATCAACCGATAGCAATCAGATAGCAACATGCTTAGAAATAAATCCATTTTTACGGTTTTTGCTCGTTAACTTTTGACATGTTAGCCCATACCGAGGGTTCCAGTTGGTAGATGATCAGGGCGGAG